TTCCCTGTGTGCATGCTGGTTCCCTGCGGAGGCACCTCCACATATTATTTTCTGCCAAACACAAAGTTTGTTTCTCAGAAGTTGCAAGATGTGGGCAGTTAAAAAAGAATCAGCTGCATGAACAACTATAAAAACCTCAGCAGCAGCCTGGACACAAAGAGTTTGAATTGTGAACAAAGGGCAGGGTGAGACCTGAAAGTCAATGCTGACACATCCTCTCTCCAGCTGTGAGAGGGGGTCTGAGGCCCCCTGCAGAGGTCATCTGCGGCTGCATCTTCAGGCAGGAAATGCAATTCAATCTCCTCAGTGACGGATTGCCCCTCAAGATTAATGGCACGGTCTCCCAACCCTGGGCTCTGTTCTGACAGATTTCTTTCCTCCCCTCTCTTCTCACTCAGCAAGGTCAGCTGACTCCCCATTTTAAAAGATGAAAACTTTTCTCCAGGAAATTTGCCTCTGAGGGCTCCTTTTAAGGGAGGCAGGGATGCATCCTGTCTTCTGGGTCACATCCAAAGGTGGCACTAGAGGCCTGAGGACTTTTCTAGGCTTTCCATCTGACTACTTCATCTTTCAAAAGAAAAATGTAAAGGGTGTGATCATCCTTGAAAGAGTTAACTGCCAGCCTTCTAGTCCAGTCCCTGGGGGATTGTCAGCCAATGACAACTGAGCATGATGAAGTCATGCTTGGATTTTTAACACCACTGGTCAATACACATGTCTGTCAAGCCAAGGATGCAAGTTTTGAAAGAATCTTTGAACTTTTATGAGTCTCTTCCTGGCATTAACCCCTTAATTAACTCACCTGTTATTTCCAAAGTTCTTTTCCAGTCCTCATACAGGAAGACTGACACTATGAAATGCAGAATTTTAGATAGAAAAGTAAGTCTTCCCAAAAAAGCCAAGGCCTGACAAGTCAATCTTTGTATAATATTGCTTTTCCTTACTCTTTTACTTTAATCCGTAAGAGGCTAAGGAATAAAAAAGATCTTTGGGAACTCCAACAATCACTTTAACAGAACAGTGTGGTCTGTTGCTCCTTAGAATAAAATAAAATTATAGTTTAAATTGGGAAAGTAATATAAAATATAGCAATATTTGATGAAACTTAGAAATTCACAATGGTTGCTAAAAATGCAAATATAGGCCGGTGCCGCGGCTCAATAGGCTAATCCTCCACCTAGCGGCGTCGGCACACCAGGTTCTAGTCTCGGTTGCCCCTCTTCCAGGCCAGCTCTCTGCTGTGGTCCGGGAAGGCAGTGGAGGATGGCCCAAGTGCTTGGGCCCTGTACCCTATGGGAGAAGCACCTGGCTCCTGGCTTCGGATCAGCTCAGTGCACCGGCCGCAGTGCGCTAGCCGTGGCGGCCATTGGAGGGTGAACCAACGGCAAAAGGAAGACCTTTCTCTCTGTCTCTCTCTCACTATCCACTCTGCCTGTCAAAAAAAAATCAAAAATAAATATGGCAAATATATTAGTCCGTGTTAAAACTCAGCATTTTCTTTCTTCTCCAGAGGTGACCAAGATAATGGTTTGCTGCTCCTTTCCAACCCTTCTTCTATCTTTTCTCCACCTAAACATTACCTAGATAGAGTTCATTATTATATAAACAGGGTCATATGCTGTCTTCTTTCACAAATCTTGAAGTTTTTCTGTAGCACAATGTATAGATGTATCTTATCCTTAAATACTGTTTTAGAATGTGTAAACAGACACACACAATGGAAGAGCTGTTCCAGGGGTGGAATACAGAATGGTCTCTAAGAAGACAGTCTGTAAGAAACTAATGTACAGGAGAGTGGATATATTTCCATGATGCAGCGGGTTAAAGCCCTGGCCTGAAGTGCCGGCATCCCATATGGGTGCTGGTTCTAGTCCTGGCTGCTCCTCTTCCAATCCAGCTCTAGGCTATGGCCTGGGAGGACAGCAGAGGATGGCCCAAGTGTCTGGACCCTGCACCCACATGGGAGATCTGGAGGAAGCTCCTGGCTCTTGGCTTCGGATCAGCGCAGCTCCGGCCAGTGTGGCCATCTGGGGAGTGAACCAGTGGATGGAAGACCTCCCTCTGTAACTCTGTCTTTCAAATGCATAAAATAAATCTTTTTTTTTTTTTGTATTTTCTTTTTTTTTTTTTTTTTGACAGGCAGAGTGGACAGTGAGAGAGAGAGAAGAGAGAAGGGTCTTCCTTTGCCGTTGGTTCACCCTCCAATGGCCGCCGCTGCAGCCGGCGCACCGCGCTGATCCGATGGCAGGAGCCAGGATCCAGGTGCTTTTCCTGGTCTCCCATGGGGTGCAGGGCCCAAGCACCTGGGCCATCCTCCACTGCACTCCCTGGCCATAGCAGAGAGCTGGCCTGGAAGAGGGGCAACCGGGACAGAATCCGGCGCCCCGACCGGGACTAGAACCCGGTGTGCTGGCGCCGCAAGGTGGAGGATTAGCCTATTGAGCCACGGCGCCAGCCCCATAAAATAAATCTTTAAAAAAAAACCCATAATCTGTAAAATATTAGTCTACTTCAAAGAATACTCGCAGATGCCCACCATGTAGATTAACAAAGTCTCCAGCTCCTCAGTACAGTTCCTTTCCTGTCTCTGTGTTAACAGCCTCTCGCTTTTATTTAATGCTTTGCCACTTACGTGTTTATATCTAAGTAATACTTATTTGGTTTAGATTCGCCTGATTTGCCACCTTGTGGGCTTAAAAAAAATGAATGAAATGGAATTTATTTTTCAGTAGCTAATACATCTCCCTGGTACAAAATTCCAAAGGCATTACAGCCTATGAAATGAAATTAAGTCAACAGGCTCCTAAATCAGGCAGTGTTCATGCATGCATATGGTAAAAGTCTCACACTCTACCAAGATGTAGGTTTGTTTCTTTTTTCCTAGTCCTTTCCTCCATTTTTTGATGATTCCAACAGAAATGCTCATCTAAAATAATATAAACATAGAGATACATCCCTTAGTTTTCTATTTTAATTTAAGGGTACTCTGGAATCATTTCACATCAGCATATATAGTTACTTATTCTTTTTCATGATTCCATAGCATTTCATTGAGCAGATAAATGCAGCAAAAATAATTAGTTCCCCCCAACTTTCATTTATTTTCTAAATGTTTATTTTTATTTCAAAGGCAGAGTGACAAACATACACACACAGAGGAGACACACAGAGAGGGATCTTTCATCTTCTAGTTCACTCCCCGAATGCCCACAACATGTGAACCAGGCCAAGTAAGGAGCCTGGAACTGCATCTGGGTTTCTCATATGAGCGGCAGGCACTCAAGTGCTTAGCCTCTGAGGATGCACATTAGCTGAAAGCTGGATTAGAAGGTAGAAGGGGGAACTGGGACCAGGTACTAAGATATGCGAATGTCAGCTTGACCTGCTAAGCCATAGCCACCCCTCTGCAACTTTTACATTCTTTTTAATCTGTCCCCATTGCAAATAGGGATATAATGAATGTCTGATTTCTCAACGCGGGATACATTTCTGGAAGTCAATTATCCATGTGTAAGGATTCCTGCCCCATCACCAGTTATTATTATTATTATTATTTTTTGACAGGAAGAGGCAGACCATGAGAGAGAGAGAGAGAGAGAGAGAGACAGAGAGAAAGGTCTTCCTTCCGTTGGTTCACCCCCACAATGGCAGCTACAGCCAGCATGCTGCGGCCGGCATGCTGCGCCAATCTGAAGCCAGGAACCAGCTGCAGGGCCCAAGCACTTGGGCCATCCTCCACTGCCTTCCGGGGCCACAGCAGAGAGCTGGCCTGGAAGAGGAGCAACCGGGACAGAATCTGGCACCCCAACCGGGACTAGAACCTGGGGTGCCGGCGCCGCAGGTGGAGGATTAGCCAAGTGAGCCGTGGCACTGGCCCATCACCAGTTATTATTATAATTCCATAACTGACTGGCACCCCAGGTGCCTACCTCATGCCATGCTTTTGGCAGGTACTCAGATGGTGGTTTAAGGCCTGATCCTATGGGCACTGGCTTTGTACCAAATGGCCTCCTCCACCAAGAAGCCTGTGCTGATATCCTTGGTCCCCTTTCTGCAAAGACCCTACATTTATTCTGCAAATGGTTCTACAGGGTTGCTTATGAGGATCCAGCACCAGTTAGATTTTTATTATTTTTTCTATGTGATTTTTTCCTAAAGATTTCTTTATTTGAAAGGCAGAATTAGAGAGAGGTCTTCCATCTGCTAATGGAAGCCAGGGGCTTCTTCTGGGTCTCTCACGTGGTGCAGGGGCCCAAGCACTTCGTCCGTTCTCTGCTGCTTTCCCAGGTGCATTAGCAGGGAAGTGCCTTGAAAGTGGGGCAGCAGGGACTAGACCAGTGCGCATATGGAATGCCAGTGTCGCAAGTGGTGGCTTTACTGCTACACTACAAAGCTGGCCCCCAAATTAGATCTCAAGATATACAAGGATCCTTCAAAATGTTTGTGGGACAATGGATTAAAATTAGGAACTAAGGGGTAAGCCTGCGGCGCAGCCGTCAAGTTGCCACGTGGGACACTGACATGCCTTACCAGAGAGCAGGTTCAAGTTCTGGCTATTCTGAATCAGACCCAGTTTCCTGCTAGTGCATCCTGGGTGGCAGCAGATGAGACCCACAGGAGAGACCCAGATGGCATTCTGAGCTCCTGGCTTCAGCTGGGCCCACTCAGTCTCGGCTGTTACAGGCACCTGGGGAGTGAACCAGCAGACAGAAGATCTCTATTTCTCTGTGTGTATCTGTCAAATAAAACAGTAAATATATAAAACCCTCTCATTTTCAATTCCATTATTCCACAAACTTTTTGAAGTAACCTCATATACAACTTGGCAGATGGATAACACAAATTCCGGAAAGTACTGTGGCTGCACTGTCCAATAAGATAGATAAACTAATTCCCTGTACAAAGGGACTTAAAGAAGTTCATGAAAAATGAAATTAAATTTTTTTCATGTAATTTTTTTAAATTAATGCATGCAGTTTTAAAAAATATATACCATGAACTTTTAGACATCCTCTTGTATTTATTTAAGTATGATTAAAATAAACTTGAAAACATTCAGTTCCCTGAGCCCAGCACCCACATTTCAGTTGCCCCGTATCTACATGTGGCTAGAGGGGATTGTGTGGGACAGCACAAATACAGAATATTTCCATGGTACAGTTCTAAGGCAGAGGTGGGTGAAGTTTGGCCTGAGAAATCATTTGGTCTGGCTCTGCCAAGGCAACTACATGCTGGACTTGGAATTCAGTAAATCTATAGCAGGATAATTTTTAAGTTGATATTATAAATATCCACATGGCCCTTTGGCGGGAAAGTTTCCCCACTCTTTTTTATAAAAGGAAAACCCCTGGGGAGAGGCATAGTACAGTGGTGAATCCAGTGGGTTCCAACAAGCTCTGGGTTCAAATCCTGACACTGTTTTTCTATAGCTGTAAAGTTTGGCCAAGCAGCTTGGCTTCTCCTTGGGCCTCAGATATAAAGTGGAGAACACCACGGCCTCCACCAGAGCTCTGGTGAGGATTCAGGAGCATGTGGAAGAGCCTTTGCTCAAAAACTAACTTCTTGAACTTGAGAGCTACTGAAATTATTTGAGGGTACTCAAAAAGTTTCTGGAAAATGCAATAACAGATAATTTCATTTTGGTGCAAAAATTTAGAATCCATGCATACCAGTGGTCTTCCAAAAATTCATAGAAAATGTTATGAAAAAATTCTATGCTTGGATTTCTTTTTTGTTGTTGTTGTTAAATAAAACTATCTTTTAATTCCATTTTCCCATGAACTTATAAAAATGTGAGAATAGCTTCAGTTCCTTAGCAGCTTGAAAATCCCGGATTCTGAGGGCTCCATCCAGTGTGAACTCTTCTTTCTTCGGGAAGCCATTGGTTCATCCCTTGGCCCAGGCCAGAGAATGCCTTTAATTGGAGCTGTTCCTTCTATCTTTCTCTCTGTCTTTGGGCACAGAGCTGTTCAGTCAACCTTTGATAAATGAAGAAATGAATGAATAGGGGTACTGCAGGCAGGATCTGACTGGGCCTTTCTTTTCTAAGAACAAGCAGGAGGGTCCCGGAAGTCATCATTGTGATGTTTGGAACACAACTGGCCCGGTGTGGTTTTCCCGTAAGAAAAAGTCCATCTAGTGGCTAAGCACCTTAAGCTCTCGCCCCTCTCACCTCTCCACTGTTCTGGGACAATTAGCCAACCCTGGGAGCTCAAGGGCCTGGGCCCTTCCCCCTTTGGTCCAAAATAACCTCCTCCCCCACTTTGAGCAAATGCTTGGAATTCTTTCAAGGGGAGGACAAAGCCTTTCATCTGCCAATTACTGATAAAGAGAAAATGCAAATATGCTGGAGAAGGTGATCCATCAAGGGCCCAACATTTATTGAGTGACCACTTAGGGCTAGGCAGCAGGGCAGGCATTCTGGGGGAGTCAAAGGGGAACTGACCCCCAGCCAGCCCATTCTTCTCTGGGGTTTGCAGTTTCCTGGGGGTTTGTAAAGGGAGGGGATTAAATTAGGCTGCTGCTCAACCCCTTCCCACCCTGACAGGCCAGGAACTCCCCGTCGGGGTGATATATGGACTTAACTGTTTTTACACTAAGGGGCTGCCAATGGGATGGCAGCTTTCAGGGACGCCATGAGACCACATGGAAAAAGAGGAGGGTCGCAGGCAGACGGGTGAATGAACACCAGGCGCTTTATTTCAGTTTTGCTTTATTGCATGCAGCCCGCCCTTGGGAGTCAGGAAGCTGGCCCGTATCAGCACCAGCAGGAGGAGGTGGGGCCGGGCTCCAGGTAGGGCCGGGCAGCCTCACCCAGGAGCAGGTGATCTTGGGCCAGTAGGCTTTCCTGAGCCTCAGTGTCCTTGCTAGCAAAACGGGAAGTACCAAGATGCTTTCCCGTAAAGGGTGCTTGTGAAGAAATAAGACGGGCCCCGGTTGCTGAGCGAGGCTGAAGGCAGAACCCTGTCACTAAGGGTTGAACCTTGAGACCCAGCAGGGCCCGACTGCGCCACTTCAGGTCTGTTTGCCAGCCTCAGCCCTCCTTAAAAGACTCTGACAAGGAGGGAACACCGATGAAAACAAACTTCAAAGAGCTGCTCTTCTGAGTGGGTGGAAAAGACCACAGAGTGATATGACAGGAAACTTAAAGACGAGGTGGGGGCAGGGTGAACTGTCTCTTAGGGTGACCCCTCTCCACTGTCAGGATCTCGGCGGCAGCTGAGGTCCACAGCAGATTTCAAATGGGAAAGCCACTTCCTCCCGGCGTTCCTCCAACTGCTTTTTTGACACGAGGACAGATTTGTAACTTTGAGCGCCTACAAAAATCTGCATCTGCAAAATGACCTGCTCGGACCAGCCCACGGGGTTAACAGAAGTAAACAGCCATGCTGGCAGTTCCCTCTGCAGTGACCCCAGTTGTAGCCCTGGTGTCACCAGGGTCTTTACCCCCAAGATCAGGCCTAGCAGGTCGCAGGAGCTGGGCTGGAGCTGGAACTGTTGGCGACGTAAGTATGGAATAACCTGGGACCCAACCTGCGGTGGTCCCAGGTACTAGGGAAGTGAACAGGGTTAGCTTGGTCTTCTAGGAAATCCTATAGGATTACTCAAGGGGTGTCCAAACATGCCCACGCCCCATCCCAAAAAGCCACACAGCTTTGCACCGGCTTCTGTGCTAGAAACAGCCAACCGGGGCTTACCCTTAGCTTGCTGGCGAGCTGCGTCAGGAGGCGCCAGATCCGATTCTTTGGGTTTCTCACTCCGGAGCATCCATTGCCTCCTCTCGGCGGCGAGCGCAGGACCTCTTAAAAACGTCCACCTTGGGTTTCAGGGCTCGTCGCCCAGTAAAAGGACTCCACAGAGGCGGGCAGAATGAATGAATGAAAGGCAACGTCTTCCGGTCAGCGGTCTGAAAAGGCTCTGGTCTAGCTGTGTTTCCTGTACCTGTGTGTGTGTGTGTGTGTGTGTGGGAGTGTTGGGGGGTGCGGGTGCCCCTTATCTTTGAGCCCCGGGACTTTAAAAGTTATGCAGTCTCTGCAGTCAGGGAGGGGGGGGTCTGTGCTCATTTTCTTCTGAGCCCCCTCCCTCCTTTGCCTCTTCCAAATGGCAGGTCCGCAAACAGGGGTCTAGAGAGGGTCGCCCCTCCCCCCACGAAAGACATGCAAAGCCAAAAAAAAAAAAAAAAAAAACAACCAGCCCATGTATATATATACACACACACACACACAAAACGCTTTGAATTTGGGTCAGCCACGCAGGTTACCGACGAAGGAAGAGGAAGAGGGGCAGCTCGGGGCCATGGGGGCAGGGACTAAGGTGAGGGGGGTCGTTTTAGGGGCTGCCAGGCCCCGGGGGCTTTCACGCCAGCACGCTCGGCTTGCATTTCCGCGCCTCCCGCTGAGGCCAGCCGTGCAAATCTGCACCTCCCTCCCCACCCCCTCCTCCTTCCCTCCCTCCCTGCCCCGCCATCTCCGGGATGCACCCGCCGCCTGCAACTCAGTCCTCCAAAAGTCAGCTCTGCACCCAACTCCCGGGCGGCGGCGGCGCCTGCGTGCAGAGGCGCACTCGTGACCCAACAACAAAACAGCGATGCCAGGGCGCTAACGGCGCCCGGTGCCTCCCGAGCCCCCTCCCCGCCCCACACCTCCTCGGGCCGCCGCCCCCGCCCCCCGCCCCGAGTCCCGGGCCGAGCGCCCCCGCCCCACCAGCCCGGCCGCGGGCTCCGAGCGCGATCGGCAACAATGTTTACGTTCCGGGGATTATGACGTCGACGCCTCCCGCCCCCCCCCAACTGCTGAAAATGGTTTCCTAGGACTTTGCAAACGGATCTGCCTAAGTGTTGGTGCAAAACTTTGTAGATCTCGGCTCTGGCTTGCTTTATTTATTTATTTTTTGGTTTGTTTTCTTTGGTCTTCCCTCCTTTCCCCCCGGCCAAAATGCAGGGGGTAGGAGTGTTGACAATTAATTGGTGAACTCTCCTAAAAAAATGGAGGCAGAGAAAGACTCTGGAAGAAGATTGGTGTGTAGCTTTTTTTTTTTCCCCCAAATCTGTGTCTGGTATATGATAGATCTATTTTTTTTTTTGCTTGTTTCTTGCTGCCTTTTCTTCTTCCTTTTCTGTATTTTGCAAGAGGACCGGAAAAAAATATAATAAATTGCATGCAAAAGGAAGCGAGCAGCTTACTCCTCCAGTCCCTTGTGAGGCTCAGAGTCTCAGACACTTGAGTGGGGCGGTGGTAGCGCGGAAAGGCGTGCAGGGGGCTGAGCGGGCTCGGGGTTCGCCCGGAATCTGGGGGGCTGCGCGGCCGGGCGCTGGGCGGCGGAGGGAGGAGGCAGGGGGATGCGGGGAGTGGTGGGGGAGTCTCCTTAGGAAGTGAGTGTGCGCGCGCGCTGGTGGGGAGATGAGGCAGCTGCTGGTGCGTTTTGGGGTCTCCGAGGGGAGCTTTGTGGCGGGCGGTCTGCCTCTCCCCCTCCCAAGCCCCGAACCTCCTCCCCCCACCTCCTCTCCTCGCACTGGCGGGCGATCGGCGGGGGCGGCCGGGGTCTCAGCCCTTCCATTTCGGCTTTCCAGCTTTCCCGGTAGCTCGGGGGCGGCTCCAGCCTTAGAAATGCCGCCGGCCCCCGGTTCCGGCTTCCCGGCTCTGCTGCCGCGGCCGCCGAGACTGCTGCTACCGGCCGAGCCGGGCGCTGCTGCGGCTCCTCCCGGGGCCTACATCTGCCCCGCCAGCCCGTGCCCGGAGCCCCCTTCGCGGGTTACATAACCGGGCTCCTGGCCGAGTGGGCAAAGCCCAGCACATCTCGGGGGTGGAGGGCAAGGGAGAGCACCCCAGATGTCCCTTACTCGGCTTCCAAAGACGCAGGGAGGGAGTGCTCCGTGCGGGGCGCAGCTGGACCCCAGGGGTGCGGGCCCCTCTCCTTTGCCTGCTTCTCAGCATCTTTGGCATTTGCGCAAAGTTGCTCTGGTTGCAATGGTGGGGTGCAGGGGGCGCGCGGCTCCTGCACCTGTTCTCGCTGGGCCCGGGGTTAGAGGCGACCTCCAGATCCCCCAGTAATGTCCCGGGCTCTCTGGTTTGGGTCCCCTCAGCGCCCGATTGACCGCCAGAGATACGACGAGAACGAGGACTTGTCGGACGTGGAGGAGATCGTCAGCGTCCGCGGCTTCAGCCTGGAGGAGAAGCTGCGCAGCCAGCTGTACCAGGGGGACTTCGTGCACGCCATGGAGGGCAAAGGTGAGGCGCCCCCTCCCCGGGCCGCTCTCCGTGCCGCGGGCCGCGCGCACGTGGGGAGGCAGCTGCCGGTGGCTGGGTTCGTATTTCGCGCCCGCGTCCCCCATTCCAGGGGATCCGGTGACGAAACGAGGCCGAGCACTGGGGGGGTGGGGTGGGGTGGTGAGGGAGGAGGGCAGAAGGGAAGGGGGGGCCGGATGCCGGCCTGAGCCAGGCCTGCGCCCACCACCAGCCCCAGGGTGGGTAGAACCAGGGGACCGGCGGACAGAGGGACCTGGGGACAGGCGGGCGGACCAGGGAGGGCGGGAGCTTCGCGTCCTCTCCCTTCCGGAGCCCATCGCGTTCCCTGGGCTGCTTGAGATGCGGCTCCCTGGCTGGAGCCAGACTAGGGAAGCCCCTGGGACTTTGGGGTGAACCCCCCGCGGCCTGAAGCCTCTGAACCCCTGTAGCATCCCGGGTCCTGTGGGTTGGGACCTGGTGATGAGGTTGCTTTGGATTTTGGGGTGACGCCCCCTCAAATCTGAGGTCTGCCGTGTTGGAGCAGGCCAGGTGTACCCCAGATTCTGGCCTGTGCCCCCACCTAAGCCTGAGGCCTCTGGAGTTGCAGCCTTGACAGTCTGAAGTCAGGCATCGGGTGAACCGGCCAACTTCCCCTTCAGGTTTAAGTCTGAGAGCCCTGTTCCCTGACAGTTTGAAATGAAGACTGGGGCACCTCCTGGGCACCAAGGGCTCTTCCGCTGCCTGTGACCTCCAGGTCCTAACAGCTGAGAGCATTAGTTGGGCAAGCCTGGGAGTGTCTCCTTAGCTCCATACCCTCAGGGCCTTGGTTTTTCCCTCACCCTCCTACTAGTCCGGTGGCCTGCGGTACCCCCTCTCACTGGGGTGCTCCTCTGCCTTTGGCCTCCAGAGCCTTGGCCAACCTCAGCCTGCGACCCAGCGTGGCCCCCCATTTCTGGTGCCCAGCGTCACCCGTGGGGCTTGAGTTCTGAAGATTTCCTTGCTCCCGGGGGCTCTGTCGGGTTTTGTGAGTTTGTTTGTTTGCCCCTCCCCCTCCTTACCTATTTGAATTTCCTTTAAATTACTCAGTTTCCATTTCATTTATCCTCACTCCCCTTGGCAAACCCATCCATCCCTCAGGGAGCTGATAACCCGGGAAGCGCCTCCCTCCCCCAGGTTCTGGTTGAGTGGCTGGGGCCCGTGGGTTAGCCCCTGGAAGACTGTCTTGGCTTTGCATTTTTGAAGTTTTTCTTTTGTGCTCCTTGCTTCCTGGGGCTCTCTGCCCTGGTGGGGTGGGGGAAGGCTGAGGAGGGGTGGAGTAGACATTTCTTCTAGTCTGCCCTGTCCAGAAGAAGAGTGCTGTCCCACTTGCATTTAAATGTCCTCCCCAGAAATGGGATTTTAGTTCCCCTCCTCTTCCCTGTTTTACTGGGTCTTAGCAGGTCCTATGAGAAAACAGAACACAGACTCTTCTAGTCACTTGTGAGGACTCAGCCTGCATTTCCCCGGGCTTTTTCTCAAGCTGCTTTGAGGAAGTTGGGGATGGGGGTTTGAGGGTGGGGGTCTGGGGGGATGCTCCAGCACAGGGGCTCGGAGGTATAGCCTTAAATCTGCTGTCTGGGCTGCAAAGGGGCCTAAGGGTTTTGCTAGTTAATTCAGATCTGGTCCTAAAACCTGAGGGAGGAGCCCTTAGGCTGGATTCAAAATAGAAGCTTCTTAAACTTCTCTTCCTTTAAATCCTTAGGAATCCCCATTCACTGTGAGCCCCTGGGGATCTGAATCTCTGGGGTCAGGGCTTTCCCGGCTCTGGGTTTTGTTCTTCCTCTCTCTTCTGAGCCAGTTGCCCTGGCCTCCTCCTCCTCCCCCAAGTCTGCCCTGGTGAGCTGTTTGCCTGGGGCAGTGGCCTGAGGCTTCTTCTCTCCCTTCTGACCAGCTGGAGGGGGCCTATGCCTTTGTGCTGTATAGTCACCTGAGGATTTGGAGGACTTACCTCCCCCACCCCTCGCTTCTGCACGGTTAGGTCGGACCCACTGCTTTTGGTATTGGGGAAGGAAATTAGTCTAAGGCCTCCTCCTCATTCTCCAGGGCTGTGGGGTCGTGTTCCAGACCACCCCCAGACTGTTTGGACCTTACCCTGTCCCCTTCCCCCAGCCTTCACCTGGGAGCATCCCTCCTGGGTATCCAGGGGGAAGCAAGCATTGTGATGGCTGCGGCAGAATCTCACTCTGAAGACAACAAGGCTGTGCCCAGTTCCCTCGTTATTTTGGCACCAAATACACAGTTTCCAGGGAAACCGGCTCCCCCCTCCCCTCCACCGTCGCAAGATATTACAATAAGATTTTCACTGCTGCTTGCTGCAGCAAGAGCCCTGCTCTCCGGTCTTCAGATCCTCCCAGGTGGCATCCTTCAGTTCTGCGTTTCTCTTGCTTTCTGAGCGCAGCTTGGGATGTGTTCCTCCGGCCGTGTCTCTCTCTTTCTTTTGGAGAGCTGGGATTCTCTCTGTGTGGGGCGCTTTTCGAGCCTCGCCTCCCCATCCCCGGCTGGCCTTAGGCCTTCATTGACAAGTTCGGACCCGTGGGGCATGCAGAGAATGACTGAGTAGGCAGAAGAGCTGATACTTGGCGTGACTTCTCTTGGGCTTTGCCTAATCCATTTCCCTATCTTCGTGCAGGGAGGTTTTGCCATCCACCTTGTGCCTGCGTCGGGATCATTTTTCTTCCCCTAACCAACGGATCGTGGTTCACTGCCTTCCTAACTTAACCAACTTGTTTTAATTCAAATGTCCAAACAGATTTCAACTATGAGTACGTACAGAGAGAAGCTCTCAGGGTTCCCCTGGTATTTCGAGAAAAGGATGGACTGGGAATTAAGTAAGTCGCTGAAACTAACCGCCTCTCCCCCCCACCTCTCTCCCTAACAGTTTACTGAGTGGGATGGATGTCTTCCACCCCTTACCCACCTCTTATCACAGAGGAGGATCTTAGGATCTGGGAACAGCATCTCATTCAAGACATGACAAGGGGGAAAGTGCTCCAGAGATTGGTCTTTTCCTGGCAGTTTTGGGCAGAGAGGACATAGTAGGGTGCTCGAGCAGTGTTGACTTCCTCCCCCACCACCCTTACCCACCCCAGTTCCATGGAGTGACCTCTTCCCCCTACTCTCAGATCAGGAAACTGAGGCAGGGCCTTAGCTGTGAAAAGACCAGCTGGCCCCTAAGCTCAGCCACAGGCACCTGCAAACAGACTCCCACCATGTGGGACATTGACCCCTTTCTCTGGAGGCTATGTTTCTGGGGTGCCAGCGTCTCCCCTTTCTCTGCCTGCCCCCCCTCCCCCCCAGCCTGCTTCTCCATTCCATCTGGAGGACATTCTGGCTGGGATCTGTCAGAGCTCTGGCTGGCCCGAGAGAGATCCGGAAGGCAGGCTGGAAGAACAGGTTTCCGCCCCTTGGGCAAGGGATAGGGGCGGAGGCTTAGGGTGTCATCCCGGGGCTGCCTCTCTCTGCAGCATCTGCTGCCAGACTTGTTCACGAGTCTCATCCTTGAGGTGGAATCAAACCTTCAGCACCACTGTTAAAGACTGGTGAACGTCACCACAAGCAGTGTGGCCAGCATTAGCAGATCCCTGGAGCTGGTGTGATGTGTGTCTTGTTTCCCCTCTCTTCGAGGGGACTGCCCACTTCCATACAACTCCTGTGGGGAGAGTTTTGTAGAGGGTGAAAGAAATCAAAGAGGGCTTTCACCGACTCTAAAAGAAAGCAAGTGTTTGGCCCTTGGGTAAAACACCTCCGTCTTCCCTGGAAAAGGGTGGTGGACAGTGTAGATGCCCATCCTCTGTTTAGGGTCGGGTTTGGTTTGCTGATTGGGCAGAAGGGGCTCTGTGGTTCTGGGGTGACCTTCCCTTCAAGCACTAACTGGCCTACTGCTCTCCCTTGGGGGTATTTCATTTAGGGTTCCCAAACTGAAGGCAAGGATCCCCTCTTGGAAAAAAAACTGGCTCTGCCCTGGGCCCAGGGTGTGTCTCCATGTTTCTGGCTTCTCACCACTTGCCTGTGCTCCTCTTTTTTTTTCAGGATGCCTGACCCCGATTTCACAGTCCGGGATGTGAAACTCCTGGTGGGTAAGTTACTGGCTCTGTGCGCGGCTCTGGGATGCTGAGGTAGAGAGGAGGAGAAGGGAAGGGGAAAGTGGCCTTTGCCACCTGCCCATTTAGATTTTTACTGCCTCGGAGAAGAAAGTCCCCGAGGGAGGTGTGAGCTGCAACTGCCTCACTCCGGAGAACAGGTCGGGCTGCAGGGTCACGAGGTGCAGGATCAGAGGGCGCTTACCGGTAACAGCTTTATGAGTCTGACTTGGACCCTAGCCTGCAGCTTGAGCGTCAGCAACGCAATCTCAGATCTCTCCTTCGCATTTGTTTGTGGGTTGCTGGGTAAACAGTGGGTGCTTTGTGACCCCTCAGAAACTTTCAGGCTTTCGAAGGGAAGGGTTGTTCCTGTTGCTTCCTCAGGGTTCTGGACAGGCCCAGGGTGGGGCTGGCCACTGGGTGCTGAGCAAATGACTGTTAACTCCCTGAGCACCTGCGGAGTGTGCTGGTGACCCAGTGCTCCCGACTCTTGGACAGGTAGCAGGTGGCTTCCCGGACCTTATTGGAAGTTGTTTAATAATCCTATTTCCAGAAGAATATTTTTTGCCTTTAGAGCAGGCCCGTTCAGAGCTGTGAACATGATGGACAAGGTTCCTGCCCTCTTGGTTGGCACATCATCAGCAATAAAGAAGGAAACTGTTATTTATTCTTTAAAATATATTTATTTATTTGAAAGGCAGAGTTACAGAGAGGCAGAGGCAGCGGGGGAGAGAGAGAGAGAGACTTCTTCCATTTGCTGGTTCACTTCCCAAATGGCAACAACGGCTGGAGCTGGGCCAATCCAAAGCCAGGAGCCAGGAGTTCTTCCAGGTTTCCCACACAGGTGCAGGGGCCCAAGGACTTGGGCCATAGCAGAGAGCTGGAGGGAAGTAGAGCAGCTGTGCCTCAAACTGGCACCCCTGTGGGATGTCAGCCCTACAGGGGCGGCTTTACCTGCTATGCCACTGCGCCGGCTCTGGAAATTGTTTATTAAAAAAATTTTTTTGTTTTGAAAGAGAGGTGGAGATAGACAGAGGTTTTGCATTTCTGGTTCACTCCCCAGAATGCCCGCAACAGCCAGAGCTAGTAATCTGGAACTCCATCCAAGTTTTCCATGTGGGTGGCAAAAACCTGAGTATTTGAGCCATCAACTGCTGGCTCCCAGGGTACACATTAACAGGAAGCTAGAATCAGAAGCACAGGAACTAGGACTCAAACCTGATACTCCAGTATGAGATGTGGGTATTCCAAGTGGCATTTTAACTGCTATGCCAAACACCTGCCCCAAAGGAAACATTTTATTTTTTATTTATTTGAAAGGCAGAGTTATAGAGACAGAAGGAGATAGATAGAGGGAAGTTTTCTATCCACTGGTTCACTCCCCAAAAGGGCACAACAGGATGGTCTGGACCAGGCTGAAGTCAGGAGCCTGGACCCTCTTCTGGGTCTCCCACATGGGCGCAGGGGCCCAAATACTTCTGTTGCTTTCCCAGGCGCATTAGCAGGGAGCTGGATCATAAATGGAGCAGCAAGGTTTCAAACCTGCACCCATGTGGGATGCTAGCATTGCAGGCAGAGACTTAACCTGCTACTCCACAACGCCAGCCTCAGGAAGCAGTTTTTTGTTTTTTTGAAGAAACCTGCAAAATTGCTAGCTTCTTTCTTTCTTTTCTTTTCTTTTCTTTTTTTTAAAGATGTATTTGTTTGAGAGACAGAGTTATAGACCAGAGAGAGGGAGAGATAGAGAGAGAGGTGTTTCCTCTGCTGGTTTACTCCCCAAATGGCTGGAGCTGGGCCGATCTGAAGCCAGGAACCAGGAGCTTCTTCTGGGTATCCCATGTGGGTGCAGGGACCCAAGCCCTTGGGCCATCTTCTGCTTTCCCAGGCCCTAGCAGAGAGCTGGATTGGAAGTGGAGCAGCCAAGATATGAACTGACATCCATATGGGATGCCAGCGCTGCAGCTGGAGGCTTAGCCTATTACACCACAGCATTGGTCCCATGGAAACAGTTTTAAGAGGTGTCTTGTCCAGGGATATGGAGAAATAGAGTAGGATGGAGTGGAGTGGGGCTGTTCTTTAGACTCTGTGGTCAAAGAAAGCCTCTGTAGTGTAAAGGGAAGGCATTTGGTCTTGATTCATGAGAATTGGCTGTGGGAAAGAATATTCTAGAACATCTCTAGCTGAGAGATGAGCAAGCAAGAGTCTAGGAGGTAGGGAAACACTTGGTGTATGAGGACCTGAGAGAGAGATGGGGAAAGTGTTAGGAGGGTGGCAGATGCCACCTGGTCTGGCCATTAGGGCCTTGTGGGCCCTGGAGGGGGCTTGGGTTTGACTTGCAATGTGATAGGAAGCCATTGGGGAGTTTTAAAGTGAGGTGAGGGGATAACTATGTGATTTCACCATTTCTTGGAGTGAGGGTTTTAAAAACATTTAAAAATTGAGGTAAAATTCACATACCATGAAGCCCAACATATCACCATTTTTAAGTATGCAATATACTGGTTTCAGTATATTTACAATATTATACAACCATCACCACTATTTCTGTCACCCCAAAAATCCCAGCTCCACCTCTCTCCATTCCCTGGTGACCTCTCCCTTGCTTTACGCCTCAGGATTTGGCTATTCTGGACTTTTCATGCAAGTGGAGTTGTACACTTTGTGGGCCTCTGTCTCTGGCTGTTTCACTCAGCATAATATTTTCAGGATTCATCCACCTTGAGCATGGATCAGCACCTCATTTCTTTTTCAGGGCTGAATAATATTCTATTGGAGGGATAGACCACATTCTGTTTATCTGTCCATCAGTTGATGGGCATTTTGGTTTCTGCTTTTTGGCCATTGTGAATATTCATGTAAAAGTTTTTATATGAACATACGTTTTCATTTTGCTTGGCTGTCCACAGTGCTTGAGAATGGCTGAGTCATAGGGTGTCTTAGTCTGTTTTCTGTTGCTATAATTGAATACTTGAGACTGGGTGATTTGTAAAGAAAGGGATTTATTCTGGCTCATGGTTCTGGAGGCTGGGGATCCACAAGCGTGGCGCCAGCATCTGCTTGTCTTCTGGTGAGGGCCTTGTGCTGCTTCACCTGATGGCGGCAAGCAGATGGGCAGGCAGGTGTGGACGTAAAACACAAGGGAGGCCTCCATTTGTAGCAAGCTGGTATAGTGGTAACCAACCCAGTCCCATGATAAATTAACGCGTTTCCGAGAGGTCCACCTCCATGACCCAAAAGCTCCCCATTAGGCCCTACCTTCCAACACGGCGACATTGAGAAATGTGGGTTCCAGCTCTTGAGCTTTTGAGGGATGCTTTCAAACCCTGGCGTATGGTAAGTGCATTTCACTTCCCGCAGCACTGCCTGCCTGTTAGCAAAAGCAGCTGTGCCATTCTATACCCCAATCAGCAGTGTGTGAAGGTTCAGGTTTTTCTACAACCTTGCCGACACTTGTTACTGTCTTTTTTTTTTTTTTTTTTTTTACAGGCAGAATTAGACAGTGAGAGAGAGAGAGACAGAGAGAAAGGTCTTCCTTTGCCGTTGGTTCACCCTCCAAATGGCTGCTACGGCCAGCGTGCTGCGCTGATCTGAGGCCAGGAGCCAGGTGCCTCCTCCTGGTCTCCCATGGGGTGCAGGGCCCAAGCACTTGGGCCATCCTCCACTGCCTTCCCAGGCCACAACAGAGAACTGGCCTGGAAGAGGGGCAACCGGGACAGAACCGGCACCCCGACCGGGACTAGAACCCAGGGTGCCAGTGCCGCAGGCGGAGGATTAGCCAAGTGAGCTGCGGCACCGACCAACTGTCTTTTTTAAAAAGCAGATTGATTTGTTTCTTTGAAAGGTAGAGTGACAGAGGGAGAGAAATAGAACCAGAGAAAGATCTTCCATCTGCTGGTTCACAACCCAAACGCCCTCAGCAGCCAGGGACTGGCCAGGCGGAGGCCAGGAACCAGGGACTCCATCCAGGTCCCCCACAAAGGTGACAGGAACCTAAGTACTTGGGCCATCATTTACTACTTCTCGGGTGCGTTAGCAGGGAGCTGGATCAGAAGCAGAGCAGCTGGAACTCAAACCTGCACTCCAATATGGGATGTGGGTGCCTAATGTAGTGGCTTAACCGTTATGCCACAGGGCCCACCCCAACAAATGGAGGTTTTATAAAAGCTGATTCTGAGGTCCCTGTGGCAAGTGCAGGCAGCTGGCCAGTGGGGATGTCAGATAATCCAACCAGAGTAATTAACCCAAACATGAGTGAACAGACATTCAGAAGGGGGAATAGGAACACTTAGGAGGAGCTGAGGACAAGTGGATGACATCAGTTAACAGGAGAGGGCTTATTTGGGAGGTAGATGTTTTATCTTATTTATTTATTTATTTATTTATTTGAAAGGCAGAGTTAAAGAGAAGCAGAGGCAGATAGAGAAAGAGAGATCTTCAATCTGCTGATTCACTCCCCAAATGACCACAATGGCCAGAGCTGGGCTGTTCTGAAGCCAGGAGCCAGGAGCTTCTTCTGGGTCTCCCATGTGGATGCAGGAGCCCAAGGACTTGGGCCATCTTCTACTGCTTTCCCAGGCCATAGCAGGAAGCTAGATTGGAAGTGGAGCAGCCAGGACTCAAACTAGTGCTGGCACTACAGGTGGAGGCCCTTCCCACTATACCACAGCGCTGGTCCCAGGAGGTGTGTGTGTATATATATATATATATATATATATATATATATATATAAAGATTTTATTCGTTTATTTGAGAGATAGAGTTACAGTCAAAGAGAGGGAGAGATGGAGAGAAATGTCTTCCATCAGCTGGTTCACTCCCTAAATGGCTGCAACAGCCTGAGTTGTGCCAATCCGGAGCCAGAAGACAGGAGCGTCATCTGGTATCCCATGTGGGTGCCATTGTCTAAGCACTTAGGCCATCTTCCACTACTTTCCCAGGCCATAACAGAGAGCTGAATTGGAAGAGGAACAGCCAAGGCTAGAACCAGTGCCCATGTG